GATAGATAGATAGATAGATAGATAGATAGAGTGATAGAGTGATAGTAATAGATAGAGTGATAGATAGATAGATAGATAGGATAGATAGATAGATAGGTGATAGATGATAGATAGATAGATAGATAGATAGATAGATAGATAGATAGATGATAGATGATAGATAGATAGAGTGATAAATAGAGTGATAGATAGATAGATAGAGAGATAGGTGATAGATGATAGATAGATAGATAGATAGATAGATGATAGATAGATAGATAGATAGATAGATAGATAGATAGATAGATAGATAGCGATAGATAGAAGATAGATACTGTAATGTAGATAAACGAGGGAGGGAGGGATGGACAGGTGATAGATAGATATAGATAAATAGAAATAGGGGAGAAGGGCATGATAGATTGACGGATAGATAGACATGGAGAATCCAGATTGCTATTCCTAGGTAGTCAAAACGAGCGTCTTCGGGACAAACTGGATTTCCCAGCCCACCCGCACGTCCGTAGAAATGAAGCCTGTCACACCTGCGCTGTCTCCAGCGTCATTTGCGGCCTGTCCTGGACGCAGCTCGCCTGTGGGAATTCTCTCTCGCCCTACCACCGAGATCGTCCCAGCTGCACCCTGTCCCCGTCATGCGATTACCTCGCCCCTCCAAAATGTGCTTTTTCCTCCCACTCCTAGGGAACACCGGGCACTTACCTGTCCCACAGTCAGAGCTCTTACGGCCAGGAACCGGCCAAGCCACCTGGAGGCTCCATTTCACTCGGCCTGCCAAGGCAGCAGGATTCCAAATCAGGTAAATAACTTAAAGAGACACGGATGGACACGGCCTTGACTTCTTCTATGCAGGTGTGCAGAAAAGCCGGGGTTGCCAGGCCCCTTGGCCTTCAGAATCTGGGTTAGATGTGGAGGATGGTCCCAAGGATGGAAAGGTAGCAAGAGAAAAAAATTCTAAATTTTCTAAATAAATAAATAGCAATAGACTTATATGCCGCTTCTCGGTGCTTTACAGCCCTCTTTAAGCAGCTTACAGAGTCAGTATGTGGCGCCCAACTATCTGGGTCCCCATTTTACCGACCTGGGAAGGAGGGAAGGCTGAGACAACGTTGAGCCAGTCAGGATTTGAACTCCAGGCCGTGGGCAGTTTGCCTGCAATGCTGCCTTAGAACTGTGCCACCATGGCAAGGAGGGGAGGGAGGGAGGGAGGGAGTGGGGGGTGGGGAAACGAGGGAAGGAGGGATGAAGGAAGGAAGGTGGGAAAGACGGAAAGGGAAGGAGAGGAAGGAAGGAAGAAGAAAAGGAAGGAGAAAAGAGAGGAAGAGACAAAAGGAAGGAGGGAGGGAAAGACTGAAAGGAAGGAGAAAAGGGAGGGAGAAGAAGAAGAAAGGAAGAGAGAAGGAAGGAAGGAGAAAAGGGAGGGAGAAGAAGAAGAAAGGAAGAGAGAAGGAAGGAAGGAGGAAAGGGAGGGAGAAGAAGGAAGCAAGCAGTAGCACTTATACCCCGTTTCACAGTGCTTTACAGCCCTCTCTCACAAGAGTCTTGCCCTCAACAGTCTGGGTCCTCATTTTACCTACTTCGGAAGGACAGAAGGCTGAGTCAACCTTGAGCCAGTCAGGATCGAACTTCCTGGCTGTTGGCAGAGTTAGCCTGCAACGCTGCATTCTAACCCCTGTGCCACCACAGCTCTTAAATTGGGTTTCTGGGCAGGCCTGGGTCTCCGGATTGGGGTTAGTGGTTTGGAAAATGGACCCCTAGCCAAGATCCAACTTTTGTATACCCCGTTTCCCTGAAAATATGACCTACCCTGAAAGTAAGCCCTAGCTGGATTTTTACACGTATGCCCAATATAAGCCCTACCCCCCAAAATAAGCCCTAATTAAGATCCCGCTGATTCCAGAGTGGACGGATAAAAATTAAGGTGGGATGGGGAGAGGGTGGAGCTGCCCTACTACTAACCTTTGGACAGTTTTAGCCAGGCCTCGTACACCCACGACACCTGCTTTGCCAGCCCGTTTCTTCTGAGGCCGGCAAGGCTTTCCTGAAGGCCTCTGGAGAGGATTACAAAGCTCTGGATCGATCCTATCGGATGCAGAGGCCTTCCGGAAAGTCTTGCCGGCCGCGGAAAAAGAAGTTCCTGAAAGCTTCAGACAGCGAAAAGGAGGCCGGGAGCAACGCGCCCAGGTGAAGTTAGTCCTAGTGTCTGTTTTTTGGGTGGCCCAAAAATATATATTTTCTTAAGTTTTCGCGGGTACTTACATGTATGGCATTCAGCTTTGTTCGGGTATTTTCCCACGTCATTGTAGTTGTGCTTTTAAAGTTGTAGCAACGTTTCAGCAGAATCTCATCTGCCATCATCAGGCTTCTGTATTGTGTTCGTCTGTGAGTCAGGCTTTCACAGTTGTTTCAGTTTTAAATTTGGGGCTCTCCTACTGCTGTGCCAGAATGCTTTTTTCTTCATCCTGATTGGTTGGGAGACTTGGTCTGTGTTTATTGGTCTTGGAGTTTGCTGTGTTCTGCTTGATTGGTGTTTCTAATATCTTCTGTCTGTTTTGTGGCTTTTTTTGTGTCTTGATTGGCTGGCAACATTGTGTTCCTGTATTGGAGACTTTAAGTGCAGCTTGGCTCTGAGTAAATGGACAGCCATCATTGTTTAGGAAGCTAGCTTTCATCTGGGTGCCTGGTTGGGGTGTGTTTGAGCTGGAGGTATCAGGGCGGATCTGTCTGTGCCCAGGTGTTTGCCTGGCTTGTGGTGTGGAGATTTTTTTGTTTGTGAGTGCAGGCTTCCAAATGATTGAGAGTCTGGTGGAATCATCTCTTCTATTCATGCTTTCGGGTCTTTTTTCAATCTCTTTGGCTTCTCTGATGATTCTGTGGCTGGGGTTTTCTCCTGCGTAAGATTGGAAGTATCTAGGCAAAGTTTCGATGAAGTCTCATTCATCATCTTCAGGCTTGTGTCTAGATACTTCCAATCTTACGCGGGAGAAAACCCGAATATATATATATATAATGTATATATTATATAATATATATATAATATATATATAATGCCTATGGCATTCAGCTACAATGACGTGGGAAAATACCCGAACAAAGCTGAATGCCATACATGTAAGTACCCGCAAAAACTTAAAAAAACAAATATATATATATATTATGAGACAGGGTCTTATTTTCGGGGAAACAACGATCCTTCGATGCTGTGAGGTCTATGTGGGATGAAATAGCTTGGAGTGGGTGGCGTGTATCTTAAAAACATCTCTTTTCCTCCTTTGAAGCTTCCCTGCCCTACATCAAGCCGGAGGAATTTTCACCCCGTGGCCAAAATTCACAGCCCGAAGGCTTGCTAGTAAGAGCTCAGCACGAGGGAGTCGTTCGAGGTAAGCCGAGCTTGAATTCAGGAAGAAAACGTGCGTTCTTGAGATCGTCCGAGTCGGCCTCTTTAAGGACGTCCTGTTCCGTAGGGTCCGCGGTGCTCTCTGAGAGCCGGCTGGTTTTCCTCGCGGGTGTCTCATCGCTCCAACTAGATAACATCGTCAGGGCTACCAGGAAGTGGGGTTTGCGCTCTCCGTTTACGCGGAATGGCTTGCTCTATGGGTTTCTCAATGCACAATCAGCTGGGGCTCCTCTTCAAAATCCAAGAAAGAAACACTTTAGACTCTTTTAATTAGAGAAAAGATATCTTTTGCTGGAAATGAAGTGGTAGCATGAAGAGGATTCTGAATCTTCCCAAGCAATAGCACTTATATAGACTTATAGACCGCTTCACAGGGCATTTACAGCCCTCTCTAAGCAACTTAGAGTCAGCATCTCGCCCCCAACAATCTGGGTCCTCATTTTACCAACCTTCTACTAAGGGGAAAACCCCATCCACACACCAACACTGCCAGGCAATCGACTGTGTATGTTCCTCCTCCTTTCAAAAAACTCTATTCCCCTTTTAGCACTGATGATGTTACCCAGCTGGGTCATGAAACGTCTGCAAGAATACCACCAAGCTCAGAGAGCATCTAGGAGCCCACGGTCCAATTCTAAGCGACAGATACTCTATTCCAGGGGTCCCCAAACTTGGCCACTTTAAGACTTGTGGACTTCAACTCCCAGAATTCTCCAGCCAGCAGAGCTGGCTGGAGAATTCTGGGAGTTGAAGTCCACAAGTC